CCCCAGTAACTATGTTGCATACCTTACTGCATCCCCACCCACTGTAAATACAGACTTGACTGTTGTGGCTGTGGTAACAGCGGTGTATCTTTGGCTGAGAGGGTCTTCCTAACCGAGCCTAGCAGTAGTTGGCTGCAGCAGCGGCACAAAACCACACATGATCTCCATTAGACTCATCTGAAACGTGTTGACTAAATTGCAGGGACAGGAGAAGAGATGAAACCCAGAGGGCTCGCTACAGTCTGCTGTCTGATGTTCCCAGTGTATGAAGTGGGGAGGTGGGAATCAGGGCTTTTACTGAGAACATTGTGTTTGAGCACTCTTTCTTCCCACTTCTGGCTCAGAAGCATATGCACTTTTCTTTTTTTTTAAATCCCCTCTGGGCTGAGGCTTCCTCCTTTTTTTTTGTTTTTGCTCAAGAAGTCCACTAGTCCACAGTCAAGCGTGTAACCCAGATATGGCAGGAGGTTTGTCTCATTTGCTTATGGGAGAAACTGATTTTGGTGGTTAACATAAGGTCAGGTTTGAGGCGATCCCGTCTGTGTGTGTGTAATTGTGCACCGGGGGTATGTATGCGTATGTGTGAATGTGTGCGAGTGTCCAAATGTKGTGGCTGGCAATAGGAAGATGCAAATCCAGGCGCTCACCTGTGAAATGTTTACWCAAGCTTGATGCAAACTGTGACGGCCTGGGCGCAGGGGAATGGTGTCTCAGGCAAATAAGGGGAGGGAAGGAAGAGGGGAGAGAGTACAACCCCAGCTAGGTGGGAGGACTCGCGTTGCATTGTTTCACTGCTGTGAAGCGTCGTTCGGAAAAGTTTCCCCCCTCGTTTCAGAAGCAGAGAAAAGCGGCCGTTCTAATAGAGAAAGTAAAACTTTCTGTTTGTAAATCGCCGACTGGTTTGGGTGGTTTTGAAACYGGTGGATGCCAACACGATGAGCACTCCTGATGACAGAGCAGCAGCGTGAAGCCAACGCAGCGCTGAGGCAAGGCTGCCGCTGCGCACGGCGAAGAATAGGAGAGCCAAATGAACACAAACGATTTCCAGGTGTTTATTTAAGCACTGAGCCTTTGGAGCCGGAGCATCAAGTCCAATGCAAATAACAATCACCTCCACACTGTGGAAGCTTGGACAGAAGCCCCAAAGCCTCGTCCATGTTAGTGCTCAATCAGAGCGTTTTTGCATGTTTTCAACTTGTGACATGCAGCGCAAGCAATGGTAAAAGGAAATCTGTGATTATTGAAAAAACACAACATTTTCCTAATGCATCAACAAGCAGGGTGACATGATTACTTTGTTTATTTGTTAAGTAAATCTTTTTTTTTTCCTGAGAGACACCATGCGCTGTCGTAAATCCACTGCTGTGATATTTACTGACCCGTCTCCTGTCAGGGTAAAGATAAAGCTGTGTTCAGTTTAAGCTTTGTGCTCGGAAGTGAACGTTTTGTAGTCAAATTGTAGTTTTCAGTCTTATTCATTTTTGTTTGGATAAATTACAGAAAATGGATCAAGCTTAGTAAGCCAAATGTAAAAAAATAAAATAAAAAAAACACTCTTTGTGTCTGAATGTTGGTTCTCTTTATCCTGTAAGTGGATGACTCAGCACGTCTGGTGTGGTGGGACGGATTAAACACAGAGGGGGGGCTGTAGAGGCTGCAACAAAGATCCAAATCACCAAGAGACAAAGATGGAGTGGGAGGAAAGAGGCAGGCAGGCGGGGATGTGGTGTTATAAGTGTGTAATGRGATGTAGTAGGGGCTTTGTGGAGGAATAAAAACAGACTGTCACAACAAATGGCACGCCCTGCACTCCGACTTTTCACCTCGAGATAGTTTTATCTTAACAGTCCGTCAGAATTTTATGAAAATAAAGTTCTTCATTTTATATGTTGTCAGGGGAGCTTCACATCAAAGTCACAAACATGAGTTCTGTGTTGATATTACAACACACACACACACACACACACACACACACACACACACACTCACACACACACACACACACACACAAAGGGCAGTTCCTCACCTGTCCATGTCCTCAGATCCTCCTCCACCTTGCAGGTCTTCAGGGCTGGGGTTTCCATCTGATCCTGCCACAGAGCTACAGAAACACACAACAAAAACAAAACATTAATACTAAAATATTATTTAATATTTCTTTGCAGAAATCGACATTTTAGCCCATTGTTATGTTTGTGAGTTGTAGAATTTTATGTTTACATTCTTCGTGGGAATCTAATGCAACAATCCAAATAACTATTTTATGACAAAACGTGCAAAACTGTCTCGACATCTGGAGGTTTTGAGATGTTTGCTCCTGTCTCAGGTTGGCCTCTGCTGACTGAGCAGTGAAGACTGGGAAGAGAAAGGGGTGGGTTTCTCACCACAGTGAGACCAGGCTTGGAAAAACATGCTTGGCGGGTGCATACGAGGTATTTTTGGGACTTTCAGGCCAGACTCCGGAGTATGGGCGAGATCTGCGAAGCGTACAGGGACACTCGGTAGCCTGTCCAGCAGAAGCTGTCAGGAAGTGAACGGAAGGTCAAGGGCCTGCTGGCCCAACGCGTGGGACCCTGCTTCGCACCCTACGGTCACACCGCAGCAAGCCTGACACAAACAGTGGGATATTTGTTCAAGGTCTGAGACGGTGCATTTGCTACAAGACGACCAGCACGGAGCTCTGTGGACACGGGCAGTTTGAGCACATGTGTTCGACAGCAACCTTTTGCCAAATTTATGGGAAGATTTTACCCTAAAAACAAACAACTGCTTTTTATTAGAAAGATTTATTCTGGGGGTGTTTTAGCTCTACCTCTGTACTATCACAATACAGAGTCCAAGCCACTCACTGTGGCTGATAGAAGAATGCCAAAAGCAGTGAAGGGGGCGGCATTGGGGCTTTTCTCATAGAGCCTCACTGGATTCAGCTTGTGTAAGATCTTTGCTTCCCCTGGAGCTCCTCCACTTCCTTTGCAAATGTCCAAATCAGCACTCAGTCACTGAGAGGTCCTGCACTACGCCTCACAATGGTAAATTCTTACACATAAATGGCCTTATTCAGAAAAGCTTGCAAGCAGCTGGTGCGATTCGCTCAAGAAAATAAACATTTCCTTCAAATATTTTGATTGGCAAGCAGACAGCATCAATACCAGAGGCACAGATTACCCCTGTTAATAGGAGGGCCGGCCTCCTGGGCGGAGCTAAGAAGCGTGGAAGGCATGGTCTGGAAATGGGAAGAAGTGGCGACTTCGTCACCATTAAGTTGAGTTCCAGCATTTCCTTTTTTTTTTTAGGGGAAGACACAAACAAAACACATGCTCTGCTTTTGAAGTGCACGTGCAGATGAAAGAGAAGGTTTGAGATGATGTCTGAGCCAAAATGGCATCCATCCTTGTGACTCCGGATCTAGCAACGCCTTTGAGACATGTAATGCGGCCTGTCGTAATGAAGCGTGTCATTGAGACACAGTGAATGCCGGTCCTTGTGCTGGCTTCCTGTTTCGCTTAGGCCTTAAGGCGTCGCAAAGGGGACAGAATGTGAGAGAAGGCGAGGGAAGACAAGAAAGTACGACGCCAGCGAGGGAAGGAAAGAGACCGGGGAGCGTGTTGGAGAGGGGAGGAACACGGCCTTGGCTCAGCTATGTGGGACATTTGATATGTCTTTTGAGCCCTCACTTATAACGTGAGCAAAAACAAACACGTGTGGCTGAAAAATCCTATGTTCTCTTTGGGAGCTCGCCGTCCGTCCGCCCGCCCTTCCCCTCGCCCCAGACTCAATAGAGACTGTTCATGGCACACATGTAGTTTCTATAATTGCTGAAATGTAAAACTCAGCCTTACTCTGATGTGAAATTATAACTTACACAAACAGTTGAGTTTGTTTAAAAAAAGGAATTTGCTCTCACTTCTCTTTTTTTCCCCCTTTTCACCAAGGAAGGGGCTTCAAAAGATTTTTTTAAATTATTATTTAAAGTTAAAGATCAGAAACATGTTCAGATTAAATGATTCATCTCGGCGTCACAAAAGAAGACTAACCACATGTGAAGCTTTCAGGCACCATGACAATTAAAGTCTGTGGTGGCCACTGGAATTTTATGTAAATTGTACCGTGCAGACGTAAAACAGAGTGTCTTAAAAACTGCTCCAGATTCCTCCTCCTTTTGGATGAAAAGCCTCRGCGCTTCCTGTTTGAGTTTGGCGAAAAGCAACATAAAATCTCTCTCCCGCATGACGGCCACTCAAACGTCCACACCGCCGCTACCTGACAGGGCTAATTTCCCGTCTCCCTCCCGCTTCTAATTGGCTGCTCACGTCACTCGAGATGTGCGAATTAGCACGCTCCTCTCAGCCGAGGTAGCAGCGAAGCGCCGCCTCGAACCCGGGGGTCCRGCCAGCTTGTTTATACGGAGTAAACAGTGTGGTCACTGTGGACGAGGTGGGAGGGGCGCAGCTGCCTTAAGACCTTCTCATGTCAAGTCCAGACCAAGGAGCCACGACGTGCAGATACTGAAGATTGCCAAGGCGCAGCTGCGGCAGATGTGTGCCAGCTGAGTAAGACGAAGCCAGAAGTAACAACATTTATATTAAGTGTCGTACGTGAGAAAAAGAAATCTCGTTTCAYGTGGAATTTGCAGAATAAACAATGAGTACAATTTGAAAAATGAAAAGCAGAAAACAGCACGGTTCTACGATCACCACATTTGTCCCACATAGTCAGAGGAATACACTCTTTTAAGCCTCCATCAAAGCACCAGTGGTGAAACGTTATGCTATAGTGTCTCACATTCATCTTCAGAGGGGGAGGTGGGGGACACACACACACACACACAGGTGTTGGAACAAATAACATGTTAAATGACACCACCTCAAAAGTGCCAGGACTCTCTTTTCAGATGATTAAATTGGTGCTGCGTTTCCTTTTTTGTTCCCTCTCCTTAACTGTTAAAACCCATTAAAAGTTGAAAGAACGTCTTTCTTCTTGGGCTGTCTTGTTAGAGGCTCTGCCAGGAGCTTGTTGAGTTTTGTTTGCGTTCAGAAGGATTAAGGCAGAATCGAAACCTGTTTTCTAATTTTCCCCTTTGAGGCAAATCAAATCTTCAATCGTTCTTTTGCTTGCCTTTCGACTGAAAAAAAAATAGTACATAATAAAAATAACCTGTACATTTTAAAACCCTGTCAAAGTCGGATGTTAATAGATGAACTAACACTGTAACAGAGGAAGGAAAAAAGATGCCACCCACAGCTACACGCAGTATACACATGTATCTCGCTTGAGGTTTCGAAAACCAGAATAACAATTTAGTGCTTGATTGTCTGAGTGTCAGATTTGCTTGACTGAACTAGGTGAACCACACATTTTCAAACACACACACTCGTACACACACACACACACACACACACACACACTCCGCCCTGGCTGAGAATCATTCC